CATCTCGCGCGCGTACTCGCCTTCGCCTAGCATTCCTTCGGCCGCGCGGATTAGGTTGTCCGCGCTTGCCCTGCACTTGCGTGCTGTCGCGCGCCCATCGCCACTGCTGCCGGCATCCCGCACGTCTTCGCCATTTTGCGCGAGTCCCGCGCACTCCAGTGACACCCGCCTTGCTTGCGCATTCGCCCAGCGCTGTCTGTATGCGTTTATTGTCTCGTGCACCAATCGCCCGCATGTTACCATCGTCGTCCGTGCACCCTACTGCTCCCGCTGCACCTTGTGCACGATCACTCGGTCCTTCGCGCGCATCAAGGCACGATGCGCGCCATTCGCTCTTGCCTACCTTCTCGTTGCCGATCGACCTCAGCGGCTCGCCCGATGGCCATGGGTCCCAACCTTCAATGAACCTTCCATCCTTCCCAACACAATCTCCAGCTCGCCAAATCCAACCATTCTCCATCCTTTGTTTACCTCGCCTTTTAGCCTCCATCTTCCAAGCTCTTCTCTTCCTTGTACAAGGCTTACACCAACAACATGACTCCTATACGGGTTGTGAATAAACGGCGCACTCAGGGCCTTCGTTTACCCACGATAGGTGTATCTACCAGACGCACTCAGGGCCTTCTCCTAGATACTGTGACTTCAAGACGCACTAATGGCCTTCTCTCTGACACTGTATGTAAACACGCACAAACGGCCTTGTTTATCACACGTTAGAACATAAAGTTCCTCTCTCAATTTGGCTCACCAAATCAATACTGAATTCAAGACATAGACCTTCCATTATGATGAGGTACATGGGGCATTTATAGGTGTAAAATAAATCTAATTCTAATCTAACTAGATCTCCTAAATTATGCAGTAAATAAATCCTAATGCTAGTAAATCTTTTTTAAAAGCAACAAGGAAATAAAATCCTACTACTACCAAAATACTAATGCTTGGCTTGCACACCAAGCAATTCTAGAAGCTCAAGTAATTGGCAAGCCTAGGACTCCTTCGACCGCCTCAAGTC